TAAACTTTACTTTTTCGTGTATCGGTTATAATTTTGCTAAAGGTTATGGTTATCTGATTCTTTATATTGTTTTTATTATTGTTCGTAACTATAGGTTTTAAAATACTTGACTACAGTATATAAATATCGATATCCTAGAAGACAAACGTATTAATTACAAAGATTGTAATTTTTCAAGAGAGCAGTTTATATAAATTTTAAAGTTTGACCCGTTTGTAGATAAAGCTGAGCAGTGTAACGTATCTTATACTTCTGTTATTAGTTAGGGTATTTATCTGTTACACAATTAATTTTTAATAATTATTCTCAACTAAAAAAAGTACTAAAGAGCCGTGGTAGCTCAGATGGTTAGCGCTCGCGGTAAATTTCACAATACGCAAGTAACCCGGGTTCGATCCCCGCCAATACCAATGAAATTGTTAATTGCAATTTTAAGTGCTGATTTACCACGTGCTCGGCGGTGAAGGAAAACATCGTGAGGATACCTGCATGTCTGAGAAAAAGAAAAAAATATTTTCGAAGACATGTGAAGTTCGCCAACACGCATTGGGGCAGCGCGGCGGACACTTCCTTGCCCTAAAACCCTCTCAGAATTGAGAGGAGGCCTGTGCCCAGCAGTGGGACGTACATAGGCTGTAACTTTAATATAAAAAGTACTGGGAGTTACATTTACTTAATATTTTTGATCATTATTTTGTTATTCAGTGGTGTACTTAGTGCATTTGTGTATAGCATAATATGATTTTCAATTATTATATAATTATTAGAAATTAAAATAAAATGTATTAAATAAATATATTTATTTTTATAACATTCCACCCAAATTGTCATGTAAATTAGGTACCAATTTTAGGTTTTAGGTGTCAATTGCCTATCATTAAAACACTAAAAGTTTCTGTGAATTTCAATACCCATAGATAAAGTGGCATAAAGCAGTAGCTTATGCTTATACATTTTGTAATTTGTATCATGGGTAGATAAGCGACTTTGATTCTTTTGTATCGTGCTTCAAGTTTCTTATTACAAATGTGCGGGTTCGGTTTAAATCGAAAGAGATGGAATTATGGCTTTCCGATAAGTGCAGAAGATGCAGCCTAATAATTTAGAATGTTTGGCATTAAAAAGTGTAAATCACAAAATTTTGCATTTAGCACGTTTGTCTTCTAGCCCATCGATATGTTCTAAATGTGATCTGTACGTTCTGCCATAACTAGACAAGCCATATACTACTTTTGCCTCCACCGGTGATTTATATAGCTGTATAAGTACTTTATACGGAATTTTACATTTAATTATGGAAAATTTTGCAAGCATACCACGAAGTTTATCACACACGTGCTCAATATGTTATTTCCTATTTAGGCGACTATCTATCACGAGTTCTAAGTATGCATGTTATTCTACTAGGTTTATGATTTCGCATTTGGATCTGTCCTCTGTGAAGACATTGGTGGTCATGCGCAAGGAGCCTAGGTGTAACCTTACTCTTACTCATATTTTGACTAGAGCTAATGTACATTGACTTGGTCTTAGCAGCATTTAAAACTAACCCTTTATCATGTTACCAATTCATAAGAATATTATCGTCTTGTAGGAGGTTGAGTGTCATTGATATTACTCGCAGCTGCGACCAAACAAGCATCATCAGCATACTGGTAAATTTCACATTGCCTGATAATATTGACCAGACTATTAACATAGTTAATGTAGTGTAAAGGTCCTATTACCGAGCCTAGTACTGCTCTTTATTTATATAGAATAAGGGTGACAAGGTGACAGACGTGCATGCATGAAGAAGATAATGAATCTGAAAGAAGCGAAAGAGGTTTGTAAGGATCGTGACACTTGGCGATCTGTTCTCTCTGGCTACCCCGTCAGGGATTGTGCGTGAAGATAAGTAAGTAAGTAAGTAAGTAGGGTGACAAACGAGCACGCAGTCCACCTGATGGTAAGTGGTTGCTGTGTCCCATAGACATACACATCTGTCCTCGTTTGCGAATCAAAATGCAGATGCGTTGTCACCCGTGAGGACTAAGATGTAATGCCTCTTTTCAGTAAAAAGGGTCTCCGGTTCTCTACACTCACCATACGAAACACAGCAGTGTTAAGCTGCTATTTTACGCTGATATTCTGTGAGAGCGTGGTCCTTCCCCGGTCGAGCCGACCCATTCGTGCTACAACTATACTACTAATATAGCTGCAGCATGGCTCTACCACGTATTATAGATGCTCGTAAATGCTGTTATTGAACACCGTTATTAGCTGAGTGGTATGAAAGTCAGACTGTTATTAGTCAGTATATTATTTTTATTATAGAAATTATAAATTTGTCTACTAACATACTTCTCAACTGTTTTATTATTGGTAGGTAATATAGTTATCAACCTATAGTTATTGTCGTTAGACTTTTTATATATCGACCTGAAAATGCCGTTATCCTCAAGTACTACTTGAGAATATTTTCCGTTCTTAATACATGCATAATATATAAGATTTGTAATGGCTACTTCAACCACTGAGCATATTTTTTAATATCTATGGTTCGTATCCAATCAATACCAGGAGCTTTATTAGTGTTTAGAGACTTAATAATGTTTTCCACTGCACTGCAGTAGTGTATGCAGGCATATACCTCATAGATACCTAAGCGTTGTCACTATATATTGACTTATCCAGTAAAGGTGTTATGCATTTTGGTATAACTCCTTGCAAACTTTCATTAAAAGTCGTAACAAATGTGCATGCCATGTTTTAGCTGTATTCCTGCTGTATATTACTATATTTATTGGGTATTTCTGCTGAAGTAATAATTCAGAATAATGTTGCAGATTTGATTATATAGTTAACATTATTTTTCATGTTTATTTCTGTACAGACATACATGCAATCGCCCTCTTATTAGTTGTGCCCAGTTTCGATCTATCTAAGATACCCAACATTGAATTGTAAAGAATAAAAAAGACAGATATCACGAGTATTGAGAATATTTTCTGGGAATGTTAAAAAAGCATGGCGTTTTTCTGAATTGTATCACTGTATTTAATTTCAATAATCTAATAAGTCTTACCAAGAAGTTCATACCTATTGTAATTCAAAGTACGATATTATAATTTACATATTATGAAGACGAAGATTTTTATTTAAAAACTGCATCCTAACTACCAAACGTTCTTCGCGTGATCAAATGACAGAAAAAATTCAGTTGCATAATTTCTGTCAGCTACATCCAATTCTGCTTTTTCAATGCAATATTTTCTTTTATTTATTAATGGTATCTATTTTCTAGAGATATTTTTATTGTATGGTCAGCCTGTTTTAGCCAATAAGGATCAATGTTCTTATAGCTTTCTTAAATCTATATAGATGACTAGCTGTGCCCCGCGGTTTCACCCGCGTAATCACGTGTCCGAGGTGCGCGACATGACCTAGTTCAAGCATTTTATAACGGCTAGGGTTTAAACGTCGTTCGCGCGCCCAGCCAAGTATTGAATTATTTTAATTTTACATTATACAAATAACATGGTATAAAGAACAAAATTTATCTTCATAAAATTGTCTTGATGATGAAGTAACTTTCGTTCGTAAGGATAAATAGGCCATGCCTAATAATAACGCTCATAAAACACTTTTAAATTTTTTGTCACAAAATACCAAATTATGACTTATGTATAAGAAAGAGGCATATGGTATTGCGGACTTTTTTTAGACGGAGTAAAGGTCTATATTTTTCTAGAACATTGTATTTACGTACCCCTAACGATAACACCAGCGTATGCGGATAAATAATTTCGGGAGTGCTTTTTCTTCTAACTTGCTTAACAAATATCCATTTTTAAGGCTAGCTGAGTAATAAAGCTTAATGCTAGATAGCCTATACTATTCCACATAAGTTTGGCTATAATATACAAAAAGAATTTTTCAAATCGGACTTGTAGTTCCAGAGATTAGTGCGTTTAAACAAACAAAAAAACAAAAAATCTCTTCCGCTTTATTATATTAAGTATAGATATGAGAACATGAAGAACATTGATCCCTATTGGTTTGAAAAATTCATGTTCTATCGCCACATTTAGCATTAATATTTATTACATGTTTAGGCAAAAGGGTATTTTCTGACTTAATGAATTGCAACAAAATAATAACACTTTATCATTGGCATTTATCAATCATACCAGTGTTAAGTAAAATCTTTTAGAAGTTAATTCTTACCAAAATACTTTAACTTTTTAACTTAAAGTAATTACTTCACAACATTCTGTTATAAACTGCACAGCCGTACGGGGGTATATTCTCAACCCGGTTTAGTTTCTTACCTAGTATATATGATTTATCATACTTAGTTCAGAAGCTCAATGACATTGTATTGTATATATAAAACGAAAAACTGGGACTAAAGCAAATAGTGCTCTAGATAAGGTTTTAAATTACTTAATGTATTAAATTTTTGGTGCCAAATATAAAAATATGACAAAAAGAGACACCTTCCGAATTTTTTGTTCGTTGTTTCTTCTCCAATCGGAAGAATCTTATTTAAAACGGTAGCAGCAGCTATGAGGAAAATACATTTGACCAACAAAATTTTTATTTTACGTCGAAAAATTAAAAATAATTTTAATTTGATTTCAATGTAAGTCGATGAATGTATAATAAACAGAAAGTGATAAAAAAAATATTAAAAAAGTGACAAAATAGTTTTATTAAAATTTAAGCTTAAATATAATATTCTAATTTAAATATTAAATAACATTCAAAAAGCTTTTTTTTTTAAATATAAACGTATAGGTTAAACATGATCTGTTTAAAAATACTAACTCTAATATACTATCCAATCCACAACACACCCTTTCGTAATCCGAACGCATAAGAAAAATTTTGGCACTGTTATCGAAGTGAGTCAATCCGATAACGTATGTACAATCAGTATGATAGCTCTGTAGTACAGATACTACATAAATTATTTAAAGTGACAAATCTTCGTGTTCCGTCGAAACAACAATACAATGAGTGCGATAAAAAGCTATTTTAAACATGAGGTGAATTTGAGTAAACTCGGCTTAGAGTATTCGAAACCTTCTACATTCTATCTTAGTGCTTGGCAAACGAATCGCTCAGTGATTCCGTTGCTGATTTGGCGGTCTATACTTTTCCTTGCGTCACTTGGCATTGTGCTAACTTCTATGGTTATGTATGGCCAAGGTGGAAAGTTAAAATTCTGGTTTATTTACTTGACGCACTGGGGCATTACGCTGAATACTTTGGCTACTGGGTTTTCAGTAGCGGTTTCCGTACGCTGCTATCTCTACGGTCCCATTGGTAAGTTCAACTTTTCTTTGACATTTATTTCAATATTTTGACAATGTTATTCTTCTTCTTCTTAATAACTGGTTTTACGGCTCTGGGATCTAGCCTTTCTGAGCCTGAAGTTACAATATTACATTATAATAATTATTCTTCATAGTATACTGCTTCACAATATGTTGATGGGTCACATTGTGCAGCCCTTGGGAGATTTTGACAGTAACTTGAGCCAGCAGACAGCTGACGGTTGGCGATGGTATCTCAAGGTGCCTAAGCAGACAGGCACCTTATTTTGAGAATCACATCACTATCAGAGCACTTGTTTCACAGTTTCTACTAATAGTTCACATGCGCAGACACTTAATACACAAAATCGCACCACTTTTACATATCAAAGTCCACTTCAAACCATTATTTAAACAATAAAACAGGAGCAGCAAACCGCCGCCGGTCAAGTTCCCGCCAAAACTCAACCTACAATGTTATTTGTGCTCTTCAAACATAGAGTAGTTACATACATAATTCTGTATTCTGCAACTTTAAACTTTTTATTTCAGGCATATTGAGTAATTTTGGCTCAAGCCTCACAAACCTATGGAGTAAATTCCCATACACATTGTATTTGAGAGGTTGCACCAAAATTACTCGAATATACTTTAGATTAGTATGTGGGATAAAATAAAACTATAAAGAAGTATAGTTATATAATTTTATTTTCTGGAAGATAGGTTGTTTTATAAACTATATATTATTATTGATGGTTTTATTGCTTTTGTACATAATATTTCTACTCTTGTTACTGATATATTGTCAGAGAGTTATTCTTCACAAGAACATTAACGTAAATTTAAATAAGCAAAATTCTCATGATGAAAGCTTAACTCAGTCCAAATACGTGATCTGAAACAGATAGAATTCGAGTCAATATAGTAATAATGCCTACAAATGACGGCCAATAAATTCAAAATGTTTATAGACTTACCACAGTATTGTCATAAGTTTTTCTTTTCGTATCATAGGAAACCTGCAGACAGTGATCAGATGATTTTGTGCTTTTTATTTGCACAACACTTAACTTACTTTCGATGATGATCACAAATCGTGCATAAAATTTTGAAATAATAAATTCATTTATATTCAATATCTTATACAGAGTTAACATCTCACAAAAAATCTTTACTGTATATTCACGACGATATTATGACTGTGTCATAATATCGTGAAAAATGAAGTCCATAATAACTGAATTTAAGCAAAAATAAATAATATTTTTATTTGAGTCTAATAAAGTATTATTATTGTTTTTATTATTAATATTCATACATGTATATGTACATATTCAATTATAAATTTTATAATACTTTGTAAATTATAAACATTATATAATATTTTAAAAGTTTATATTACCTATTAGCGATCCGACACGACTTCGCACGGGTGTTTTCTAGGTCTCGACAACAGTGTCACCTACCGAGTCCAATTTACCATCTAGGCACCTATTCAAACAAACACAAAAATTTTCATCAAGATCGATCCAGCCATTTTCGAGTTTTTGCGAAACTAACGGATAGCAATTGATTTTTATAAATAGTTATTTTTCAAAGAGTAGCCAAATTTTAAACTTAAGTTCAAATATATAAATAATGATATACCGTTGTAAAATATAAAACATTGCAAATCCGAGGATTATGAACTCGACTAAAACGAACTGTTATTTCGACAGTGGACTTAATTTAAACTTCCACAATTATGTGTATGTTAATTAGGTTTCATGTACATGTAGCAAAAGATAATAACCCTCTAAAATCACATTTTGGTAAGAATTCGATTATATAACTAAATTCAATTATTTGTAATTACCTGTTTATAAATATATTTTTTATAGATTCATCTACAAAAATTGGATATAATGAGCACTTATTTTGAAAGCCACAATTAGTAAACGATCTCTGCGAGTAGTATGCACATAGGTAGCTCTGTGAAGAAGCCTAGCGATTTATACATAGGATTTGTTACACTTAAAAGCAATTTAATCCAATCAGTGTTAAAAAACCCAATATTTTTACCCTTTGAAAAAAACTAACGTTGAAAACAAGCATCCAGACGCAGATTATTTATTTTACAGTAAAGCAACACATGTACAGTGCGGAAACGAACCCTAGGTCCTGCAATGCCGCAGCCAAACGGCACGGAGTCGTCATTTATTTTTTACTACATTTATTACTAGTATAATAGTGCGTTTTTTATTTTAAATTTTCTTTATACATATTTTTGTACCTAATAATTGTAGAGATATAATTACAAATTGCTGTGTGTAAAATATATTGATTTCTTATCCTCATCAGCATTTTAAATCTTATACTCAATCCCTACGTGAAAAAAATTATTTCTCACAAATAATTCAGTATAGAGACCTTACTTTTATTTTGTAAAAATATCGATAAACAATATATCGATAAACATTATATCGATAAAATTATTCGAGTATAGACATTACGGCATTATTATAACTAGCCTATGTTGTCAGCACTGCTTGTCAAAAATTAAATGTCATGTCTTGAAGTTGGTAGAGTAGGTTGGTGCCTGTTCATACATTTACTTTTTCTTAGGAAGTCCCATCTCTTAAACGTACTGATTAAATTTTCTCCGCTGATAACTTTGTTCAAGGAAGTTATTCAAATATATTATACGAATCTGTAAAACGTGTTTTATTTTAGTTATTTTTGTTTTGTTACGCTAAAGAAGTATAACTTCTTGCGTGCGTACATAAGTACACACACGCGCGTTTTATTTTAAAATTTATAACTTTTTGAATTTTAAATTTTTAACATTTTGTAACAGTTTCATATTAAGTATTATTTATGGAATTCGTGGACTTATATCCTTTTATCGCATGACTGAATTTAACGCTCTGCTTTATTTGCTCATTAATTTTTACAGGTGCAGATTTTGGTTTGCCATGGTACGTGAAAAGTTATTGGGTTCTGTACAACAGCGCAGTACCAATGGCTTTCCTCATAACAGTGTTTTACTGGACTGTTCTTTACGAAGGTAAGTTATGACACCCTATAAATGTAGCTAAAAAACTACGACCTTTGTGTAAACTTTGTTGAGCAACCGCCACTCAGGACTATACCAAAGTGAATGTTTGTCATGCACGCCGAACGCTCCATCTGAGATCGTTTGTGAAGAACGGTACGGTATAGCGGCGTGTTTGCTGCAAACATACTGAGCTGCTGTTGTATCTTACAAGACGTGGGTTAATCATGTATGTACAACTCCCGCCCCGTCGACAGATCCTGATTAAGTTAATAAGCTATGTAGAGGTCCCCTTTCTCCTTTTTATCTTTCTATATCACGTACAAGAGGTTTTTTTCAAAGACCGCAATGCTCTTGAGCGACGCCGGATCCACAGATAGTTGCCTACTTTGCCTTTAAGTTAACTCAAGGGTAAAGCTCACTGGAAAATTCAGAATTCCTCAAAATACTTTTTAGCATATAAAACTCGCATGGTTTCCTCACGATGTTTTTCTTCGCGACCAAGCAAGCGATAAGTTTGCTCTTAAAATTATAATTAACAATTTCATAGCTTCCAATACATAACACTGGTAATGCTGCCAAATATCACCAGTCTAAGGCTAATAAAATAATAAAACTTCGGCATTATATTTAGGTGAATTTTTCTTCAGTAGTTAATAACCTCGTCCACTTTATTTAAATTCTGCTTTTTGGACACACAACATTATTTAAAAAATCATTATCATATTGTTTTATATGCATACGGCATACGGCTCACCTGATGTTAAGTGACTACCGCCGCGCATGAACAACTGCAATACCGGGGAAACTGCAGGTGCGTTGCCAGCCTTTTAAAAAGGAGTGGGCTCTTTTCTTGAAGGTCCCTAAGTCGTATCGGTCCGGAAAAATTGCCAGTGGTAAACTATTCTACAGAGAGGTCGTACGTGGAATAAAACTGTGGTGAACCGCCAAGCATCCCGATGGTGTGGATGGTTTCAGAAGTTTTGCCGCAATGTGCGTTCGTCAAATTTCGCGGCTGGGATTAATCCGAACAATTCCTCAGAGCACTCTCAGTGGTAAAAAATGCAAAGAGATGCAACATCTCTTCACAGCACCAATGAATCGAGCCGATCGGAAAGCACTCGGTCGTAGATTGGTATAAAAATTTCCGTAGAATTCTATAGATGCTCTTGTTGTAAGTTCAATTGTAGTATAACATCGAATCGACTAAAATTGACTAAAAATTGATTGTTTTCTTCTAATTAAATTATTTATTTTTAGCAAGAACAAATAAAATAATTAACACTTACATATTTGTGGATAGCTATACTAAAAAAAATACTTCGATTGTTAAAATTTTCGATTGGTCGATTATCGGCTAAGTTCACACTCACGATGAAAAATTTTGTTAAGTTTTTAAAAATCTAATTATTGTGAAAGGATTGTGAAGTACAAAAAAATATTCGTAAATCTACGGAAAAGCCGTAGAGTTGGCAACGCTGATTACGCGAATTGACGATCGCAGTCTTCCCAGTCAGTTGCAAGCGTGATCGTTATAACAATGAGAGCTAATAATCTTTCTATCATCAGATATAACTAGTATTGACTGACTGTGGTGAAGTTTTTCATTACAAAATGTCATATGATTGAGAAGTTGCGTTTTGAGTAAAATTTTATCGGTTTCTAGAGTATTTTAAGCCTCTGGGGTATTGTTTTGTATAAATTGATATACAAAACAATGCCTCAGTAGTTTGGTCCTCATTAGTTTTTCACATTTTTAACTCTTATAAATTTTTCTACTTTTAGGAGTATCTGTAGTTAGTTTTATTAATTTATAATCTAATTAATATAAAATATAACTGATATTACAAAAAAAAAACATAGACCCTTATCTTTTCCTAATAAATAACTTCCCCGCCATGTAATTTGTCAAATATTTCACCGAGAGAGACGTAACCGAGCGTAACGTAACCTAACGAGGCGTTCCTACATAAGTGGCTCCGTGAGTCTAGGAGAGGACTGTTACGGATTGGTAAAAAATAAAATTAATAACTAATGTTCAAACAAGAATCTGTTTTTTTTTTTTCAACAAATGATCACTTCGATTAACTGTTCTAAGTGGCGCCGCCCTGGTGGCACAAAAAGTAGTGAAAGACATCATTCCTCCTTTCAATTTGAGACGCCCTTATCTAGACTGTTACAGGGTAATAAGAAATAAAATGTAAAAATTATAAAAAACAAATATTCAAACAAGAATCTGTTTTTTTTAACAAAAGTTCACTTCGTTTAACTAATTGAACAAGAAATGTAAAAGGCAACCTTGTTTTCTTTTTCTTTTGATATCTTGGAGAAGAAAGAGCTCTTATGAAAAGCCCCTTTCGCGGTATCTCAATATCAAAGGAACAGCTAACAAAGTAGAAATGATAATATGGCACAAAAGAGGAAACATAGATACAATCCAATGATATATTATGGTGAACTCTTTGGGTCAGTTTTTATTTTCTGCAAAAGTGCAGTAGATTACATTTTTGGCATATATAATATGGAATTAAGAAAAAATAAGTTTTTTTATATATATAAATAAGGGCGATACCTAATTATCTTAAGGTTTACCTTAAGCTGTGCTGTTGCCCATAAGCTCCAAAACGTAGTGATTACATAGATACTCTTTGATAGACACCTTATTTAGTTTTCATTTCATTCACTCCGGACGTCTAATTAACCGATCACAATACAGTAATTTCATGAATTTTAGTTCGTCATAGATTATATACGAGTATATACTAGCGATCCGCCCCGGATTTGCACTTCCAGATCTCGATAATAGCGCCATCTACCGGATTCAATAGTGAATCTAAACCAATTTAAAATTATTAATCACACACAAGTTTTAAATGTGGTAGAGCCATGTTGCAGCTATATTAATTTTATAGTTGTAGCACGAATGGGTCATCTTGACCGGGGTACGACCACGCTCTCGCAGGATACCAGCGTAAAATAGCAGCTTGATGCTGCTGTGTTTTGCATGATGAGTGTAGAGAACCGGAAACCCTTTTTATTGGAAAAGAGGCATTCCATCTTAGTCCTCACGGCTAACAATGCATCTGCATTTTGATTCGCAAACAAGGATAGATGTAGATGTCTATGGGCCACAGACATCTACATCTGTCTGTGTGCTCGCTTGTCACCCTTATGCTTTAAAATAGCAGCTTAACACTGTTGTGTTTCGTATGGTGAGTGTAGAGAAACGGACTCTTTTTACTAGAAACGAGGCCTTCCATCTTAAGCCTCACGGCTGACGACGCATCTGCATTTTGATTCGCAAACGAGGATAGATGTAGATGTCTATGGGCCACAGCAATAATTTACTATCATGTTGACTGCGTGCTTGCTTATCACCCTTATGCTATAAAATAGTAGTTTAACACTGTTGTGTTTCGTATGGTGAGTGTAGAGAACCGGAGACCCTTTTTACTGGAAAAGAGGCATTCCAGCTTAGTCCTCATGGCTGATAACGCATCTGCATTTTAATTCGCAAACGAGGATAGATGTAGATGTCTATAGGCCACAGCAACGATTTACCATCATGTGGACTGTGTGCTTGTTTGTCACCCTTATGCTATAAAATAGCTGTTTAATACTGTTGTGTTTCGTATGGAGAACTGAAGAATTCTGTATATAAAGATATGAGCTAGTATCATTACTAATTCTCACTAGGATCATCACAGCCCATGATCTTCGAATGTTGTTTTAATTTTTACTCTAATTTTATTATTACAATACTCGCGGGACGAAAAATATCTCTCACGTCAGTCTTTAGAACACGTATGATAATATGTAGATACATAAATTCATTCCTTGTTCTGTAATCAAAGAGTATAATATAATCACTACGTTTTATCTGTAATGTAGATTTAGTCGCTTATTGCACAAAACTCGTGGTAGGTCAGAAACTGGGCATGGGCAGGACCAGTTTTATACCACGTGGGGAACACGCGTTCATTCCCCGCCGGCACCAATAAAAATTGTCATTCGCTGAGCACGTGTTAGGGCTTGACAGTGAAGTAAGACATCGTAAGAAATCCTTGTTTATATTTTATTTATTTATTTAAACTGTTATGCACAAAAATAAAATCATACATATGGCGGACTTAATGCCTTAGTCTGGATTTAGTGCTCGACCGACGGTCAGCACGTACCGTACGCGCTGACGGTACGTCCTGATCGTCAGTCGAGGCCAAGCGTTTAGTGCTTAACTGACGGCAAGCTTTGTTAGATGTGTACAATTACCAGGAAAAATGAATCCATTTGTTTACTCTATAATATGTCCGTACTATTTACGCCAGCGATTACGGCATAAAAGACCGTTTTATTGAAGGACAATTTTGTTCATTGTATTCGAAATTGCGAGAACAAAGCTCATGTATCAATGTTCATTTTTATTCGCGATAATGCGTACGCGCGTGCAGTCGGTCGCTCTGTCAGCATTTCATGTATATACAATGTACTCTGTGGTCAGCATCGTACTGAACGCACGTTATGTAGTATGTACCGCCATAGCGTGTCAGTCAACCGACGTACGTCGAACCAACTAGCTCGAACGACGTTCCTAGTACGCGCGACGTAGCCGTACGCGCATAGTACTTCATCAGCGCTGCACTGTAGCCGTTAATAGGTTTTCATTGATATAGCTACGCTCAACCGATGTCAGCGCTCACCGTCGGTCGAGCACTATATCCAGCCTAAAGACATTCTCTCCCCAATCAACCATTAGGCTAAGCAGAGTTAAACATACGAGTATGGGAGGTAGTGCAGCAAAAGTCCGACCGATATCAAAAAAGGAGGGGTTCTGAATTCGACTGTATTTTTTTTATTCTTTAGAATTTTTTATTATCTCAGAACATTTTTCTAAGTGAACCGATTTTGATGATTCTTTTTTTTATTGAAAGCTAATGCTTCTCATGTGGTCCCAACCACATGAGAAGCATTAGCTTTATATTTGACCGAAGCATTATATTTGACCCATATATATTTCATCAAGGTCTAACTAGTAATATTTTTGAGTTATCCTTAATAATGCGAATGACTATATTTATGATGTTCTCATTTTATTTACATTGAAGTCGGTTGAACAAAATTTTTAATTTTACCTCCTTTTTTATAGGATAGGGTGACAAACGAGCACACAGTCCACTTGGTGAAAAGTGGTTGCTGTGCCCCATAGACATCTACATTTATCCTCGTTTGCGAATCAAAACGCAGATGCGTTGTCACCCGTGAGGACTAAGATGGAATCCCTCTTTTCCAGTAAAAAGGGTCTCCGGTTCTTTACACTCACCATACGAAACACAGCAGTGTTAAGCTGCTATTTTACGCTGGTATTCTGTGAGAGCGTGGTCCTTCCCGGTCGAGCCGACCGATAGCTGCAGCATGGCTCTACCACGTCTAAATCCTCTTGTTAACCAACCAGATAGTCGTTTGAAAAAATATTGCTTGGTGATCCACTAATTCGCACTAGAATTTCGGACTTTTTCTACATCTCAACCTCAGAAATCAAATGAAGCTTGTGCCCAGCTCTGGGATGTTTATAGGCTTTACTTCCTTTACTCCCTTTCACTTTATTTCCTCTAAGATAGTACTTTGTTTTACCAAAAATTTTATTGTATTGTATTCAAATATGGTCACAGTATTTTATTAAGTATTATTTGCAGCGGGCTTTGAGGAAGAAATGAATCACGGGGTGGACGTAGGTGTACATGGTTTGAACTCGGTGGTGATGTTTCTCCTGCTGGCCTCTTCCTCGCATCCCTCAAGACTTTTGCACGTTTATCAGCCCTTTATCTTTGGATTAACGTACGGGTTTTTTAGTGCAATGTATTATCTTGCAGGTGGATTGGATAAGTAAGTGATTTTAAAATGTTTACAGCGATTGTTCTCTTTAGCGGGAATTATTTTGTAATCAATTTGTAATAATGATAATAGTATTCTTTATTACTGGCCATTCCGAGTCCACTCCTGAACATAGGTCTTCTCAGTTAACAATAAGAAAACCCAGGCAGTTTGAAAGTAATAACATGAATTAACACTAAGACAAAAACTAGTTAATGCACTAATCTTAAGAGTCTATAATAATGTTGACGGCTCCGTGGCGCATTGGCTTAGCAATCAGTTGTTGCGCTGGGAGCCGCGGGTTCGATTCCCGCACGGAACAAGTATTTGTATGTATATATATATATGTATATATATATGTATATATATATATATATATATAATATTATATATCATTTATCATCATCATTACAGCCCTTCACAAGTCCACTGCTGAACATAGGCCTCCCCCAAAGAATGCCACAAAGCACGGTCCTGAGCCACCTGCATCCATCGACTTCCTGCATATCTTACCAGGTCGTCACTCCATCTAGTGGGGGGACGCCCTACACTTCGCCTGCCGGTACGAGGCTGCCACTCGAGAACCTTTCTTCCCCATCGGTTGTCGGTTCTTCGAGCTATATGGCCAGCCCATTGCCACTTCAGCTTACTAATCCGTTGGGCTATGTCGGTCACTCTGGTTCTACTGCGGATATCTTCATTTCTGAGTTTATCACGCAGAGAAACTCCGAGCATAGCCCTCTCCATAGCTCGCTGAGCGACCTTGAGCTTCCTCATCCGGCCAGCAGTGAAGGACCACGTCTCAGTTCCGTATGTCATCACTGGCAACACGCACTGGATGTACAGTCTCGTTTTTAAGTTTTGAGGTATACCTGACGAGAAGATGTGCCGTAATTTCCCGAACGCTGCCGAACCGAGTTGAATCCGTCGATTGACCTCTCGGTCGAAGTTGGACTTACCTAGTCGGACTATTTGTCCCAGGTAAACATACTCGTCAACAACTTCGAGCTTAGTGTTCCCAACAACTACCGGCATAGGTGTGACATGGACATTAAACATGATCTTTGTTTTGTCCATGTTCATCTTAAGACCTATCCGTTGGGAAACACTATTGAGGTCATTGAGCATAGTGCTTAGGTCCTCCAGCGATTCTGCCATAAGGACTATATCGTCGGCAAATCGAAGGTGAGTGATGTACTCGCCATTGATGTTGATACCGTATCCTTTCCAGTCCAGAAGCTTGAAAACATCTTCCAATGCAGCGGTAAAGAGTTTCGGGGATATGACGTCACCCTGTCTTACACCTCTCTGCAATTGAATAGGTTTCGTACTCTGGTTCTGTACTCGGATAGCCATCGTAGCCCTACTGTACAAGCACTTCAACACTTCGATATACCGACAGTCAACTTGGCATCGCTGAAGGGACTGCAGCACCGCCCAAATTTCGACGGAATCAAAGGCTTTCTCATAGTCCACATACGCCAGACATAGTGGCAAATTGTACTCCTCGGACTTCTGTACAATTTGCCGAAGGGTATGTATGTGGTCTATGGTGCTAAAGCCTTTTCGGAAACCGGCTTGTTCGGGAGGCTGGAAGTCGTCAAGTCTGCGCGCGAGACGATTCGTAATGACTCTCGAAAACAGCACGTAGACGCGGCTCAGAAGGGAAATCGGTCTGTAGTTCTTCAAGAGAGCGTTGTCACCTTTCTTGAAGAACAAGACCACCGCACTTCTGCTCCACGCCTCCGGTGTAATGCCACCATGGAGGACGGAATTAAAGAGCTTCTGAAGGACTTCAAGTACCGGTTTTCCACCCGCTTTCTGAAGCTCCGCTGTAATTCCATCCTGGCCTGGGGCCTTGCCGTTTTTAAGGTGCTGGAGAGCCATTCTAATCTCGCTCAGACTGACGTCCGGGATATCATCGGAATAATGTCGGATAAGACTCGCTCTTTGATCGTTACTCACACTTGCGTGTGGCTCCAACGATGACGTGTACAGCTGCCCATAGAACCTCTCAATCTCACTCAAAATCTCAGGTGCCCCGGAAACGATGCTGCCACATTCGGTCTTCAGCTTTGACAGTTGGCTCTTTCTGGCAGACAGATCTCTGGCAAAGACTTTGGAGCCTTGGTTCCGCTCGATCGCTTCTTCAATACGAGCTGTATTGAAGTTGCGTAAGTCCCGCCGCATGCATTTGGAGATCTGTCTGTTCAGTTGCCTGTATGCTGTCAAATCTGTTGAAGAATGTAGCTTCATCTCCCGTCTAACAGCCATGAGATTAAGAGTGTGATCGGAGAGTTTTTGTGTTCTTCTGCGGCGGGTCTTGCAGAACTTAGCTCCGACCGCATGGACAGTTTCCACGAGCTTGTCATTCAAATCGTCCACTTCATTGCAGTCTTCTAGGCACTGAAAACGGTTTTGCAACTCGAGCTGAAAGGTTTCGGGACTTTGGATTAGAGCACGAGGGGGACGGAGCGTTGACTTCATTAGACGAGACCTCTCCAACTTAACGTTTAGGTTTAGTGTGCCTCTAACCATTCGGTGATCGCTGCCGGTTTTCACCCTCGCGATCACTGAGACATCACTGAACAGTTGTCGTCTGGTCGTCATAATGAAGTCAATCTCATTTTTTGTCGAACCGTCGGGGCTCGACCAGGTCCACTTCCTGTGGGGCCGCTTCTGGAAGAAAGAGTTCATCATAAAGAGTCCCTCTTTCTCCATGAAGTCGGCCAACTGTTGGCCCCTTGGGTTCCGTTGCCCTATTCCAAATTTCCCCACTTTCAGCTCACCGTTCTCTCTTGTGCCTAGTTTTGCATTGAAGTCTCCCATTAACACCGTATATTGGGTTTTGGAGGAATGCATGGCTCTAGAGATATCCTCATACATTTCCTCCACCTCCTGATCGGGGTGTGCCGAGGTTGGTGCGTAAACCTGTATGACCTTCAGCGAATACCGTTTGGTGATTCTGAGTATAAGGTACGCAACCCTCGTCGACACACTCTCAATCTTTACAACGTTGTTAACGAGAGACTTGTGGACGATAAATCCGACACCTCCTTGGGACAGATGGTCGCCCTCCCGGTAATAGAGCAAGTTGCCGGATTCGAGGATTACCGTGTCCTCCCCCTCTCTTCGGACTTCGGATAATCCTATAATATGCCAGCGTAACTTGTCTATCTCTTCTTCCAGCTCCACAATCTTCTCGTCAGTCCTCAGGGTGCGTGCGTTGTATGTTGCCAGGTCGAGTCGTTGTAGGTGGCAACCGAACCTCCACCGGAGATTCTTAGCACCCCCTGCCCCGCCGTTACCATGGTCGCCACCGTAGCCAGGAATAGCGGGGCTGCCGGGGACTGGGGGTCGTCTCTTCGTAACCTTCATTATGGGGGGTATATTGCCATAGTTGCCACGCTTGGCGAGCGGGTTAGCAACCGCAGTTTTTTATTGTATTTTGCCGTTACCAGGAAGATGCTGCTGCCCATCTCCTGCCTGTTTCCCTTTGTCGCCTTTTACGACACCCACGGGAAGATATGGGGTAGTGGATATTCTTAACCGCCACTACACGGCCAAAATATTATATATACATTGTTATAATCTGCCGTTGAGAAACATGATTAATTTCTTTACTCATGTGTTTGGGGGCCCTTGCATTTGCGATCGTTTCTCAAAACTTATGTCTAGCTATGATAGCACTACTTTGCTCACTAAGCATGCAAACGTAAATGGTATGAAAACTCAAATAAAAATAATAAACAAATAATTAATGAAAACCCTTGGCCGTTTCGTCTTCCTGTCGAAGGCTTCCATCTATTTTAACTATTATAATTTATATATGGTAATATATTCATCACACGTTTTATATTTTATCTTATTTATCATTTTTAAGTTCTAGCTGACCAGGCAGACGTTGTTCTGCCCTTTCCGACGACCGTTGCTATAAAAATTCCTTAAATAAGTCTTAAAAAATATGGAGTGTAAGTGACACTCAATATTTTTTCGACAGAAACAGAAGCATTTGAAGGAAATATATAAGCATGCTATCAATTTCCTATTTGAATTATTTTATGGTCAGTTACCTTATTAAAGCATAAGGGCATATTTAAGAATGCGATAAATGACGCATTTGTTGCGAGGTATTCAATAATCACCACGATCGACAGGCGGGTTGGTAAGCGGAACTCCAATGACTTCACATATTTAAATCCCTCAGATCTTAAAAATTTTATGGTAGAGCCACTGCCCATCACCGATTCAAAGAATTTATATCTAATAATATTAATAATTAATAATATTACCAACAAGTTACAAATTTTAATCTTCAATATCATTTAATATACAAATCTTAAAAAAAATTAAATCTGAAAGACAACCATACTTCTATTATAGTCATAAACAAGCTTTACTTGCGCTTTCCCATCTCAGCCCGGGTACGTCGACTAAGGAAAGCGCTATAAAGTTTGTGTTGTGGTACACGTACTCGTACTACATATAAATTGCGGTGTGACCAGGTTTCGGGTTCCCAACTTTAGGGTTTTCTCCCCTAAATTTAGGAGTAAATAAGTGGGATTGGATTTTTTAAGGGACTTTATATTTTAGGGGTACTTTTAGGGACTTTTATATTTCTTTCCACTTTAGCTGATTTTTGTTTAGGTGACTGTAAACCTTTTGAAATTGCCTCAAAATTCGGGTTGTATGTTTTGCATTAATTATTACGTTGTAATTTCTTGTTATCTATTGAAATGCTACCAATTGTGATGATGATCGGATGATAACGCATCATTTATTCCATTCTATATCATTTAATCCATTAACTAAATTGTATGTTTATTTAATGTCCAAATGTATGATATAAATATGTCGGAACCATCAGAAAAAAACGAAATAATATTTGAAATATCAAATAATTTATATATAAAAAACATTACAAACCATTGTAATTATTTGTAGGGGATTTCCAAGTAAATAAGGTGATTTTATTGGTGTTTGACTTAACCTTTGGAGGTAAATATTTTTTGGGATTGGTAATACTGGGTATAACTATCCCTTAAGGGGGAAGCGCCAGGGTAGCCCGCGAAATTCAAATTTTGTTACATTTTTTGCAATTTGCAGGTCAGTGTCAGGTTGTATGTTTAACAAAATATGATTCGCGAGCGTAACGAGTATGTGTTTACAGAATTATAAGCATTATAATCATCAATACAACCGTCTATGTTCGTATAATTCCAATGTATGGCTATTTCCAGAAAACTCATTCAAAGGAATTATACGAACTTAGGGGGTTGTATTGATGATTATAATGATAATAATTCTGTAAATACATACTCGTTACGCTCGCGAATCATATTTTGTTAAACATTCAAACTGGCCCTGACCTGCAAATTCCAAAAAACGTAAGAAAATTTGAATTTCGCGAGCCACCCTGGAGCTTTCACCTTAAGTTGTATTTGTATTTATACCATGTTTAATGCTGTAAAAAGTAAAGATGATGTGAGATCGATGGGAGACGGACGGAGATAATTGGGATATCTAAAGATTTGTTGTTTTACACATTACATAATATGTAGGTGAAGTTAAAGCACACTCACAGCCTTCTCTCTTATCTGGCAGCAGTATGCAGCGATTAGCTAATCATGCTGCTAGAATGCGTGTTGGCAGACGTCACATGGTTTCGAAATATTTGTATTTCTCAGACACTCGCTATGTTTTCCTTCACCGCCGAGCACGTGATCAGTCAGTCGTTACATTGCAATTAACAATTTCATTAGTGCCGATAGGGTCTAAACCGGATTGCTCGCGAACTGTAAAATTTACAGCGAGCGCTTAGCCCTTAATCTACCGCGACCCCTTACTTTAAATTTAGATATACCTATATTATAAAATATAAATAATGTTTCAGGTATGGCAACACATACATCTACCCAGTCATAAACTGGGGGAAACCAGGCCCTACATTAGGCATGGTCGCAATAACTGCGTTACTTCTCGTCTCGCTCCATTTTGCTGTAGTGGGATTGGCGGCGATACGTGATGGAATTGCCTCGCGCTGTTTGCGGCGTTCAGTCGTCACACACATTGAGGAAGGAATGCCTCTTCGCTCACCTGCTAAAACAATAGTGTATCCTTGACCTTACTGTTTGTTAGAACACGTATTTTGAACGATTAATAAACATTAAATAGCTCGAAATTAATTATTATAAACAGACTTTACTAAACATTGGTGTGGCCCATCCGGGGAGGTCGAGGAACAAGGTAAATTGATTAATGCGAAGTTAATGCTTATACTAGGGTGGTCCGAACAGCTTCCGACCTCAACTTGAAGATGGCAGTACTCGTCAGTAAAAGCTATTGAATGTAGTTTTGCATCTTTTGATAATTATGCACCAACATTTTAGCCATTTTAAACGCGTAGTTGTTATTTGACAGTCGTTTGAATGAGTCTATGTGAGTGTTTTTGAAATGCAATACGCCTACGCAAATCAAATATTGTATGGGAACACTGCAACATCATTTACTAAAGTGAAATTTTGGGCAGCTGAATTAAAATGTGGCTGTGAGAGCTTGGGAGATGATGAACGTTCAGGACGTCCAAAAACTGCAACTATTAACGATAACATCGCTAAAGTTCATTAAATGAACTTTAATTAATGAACTTTAATTAGGCGGTCATCTAGCTTAGATGACCGCCTAATTAAAGTAAGATAGATAGCAGAGGCTATGGAAATGTGTGCCAAAGAACGTGTAGTAACATATTAAATCAAGATTTAGACATGAGAAAATTGTCAGCGCATTGGGTGCCACTTTTGCTCACGTTAGACCAAAAACGTGTTCGAATGGACATTTCCAACGCTCCGTTAGATCAGTAGAGGCGCAATAAATAACCAAGTTTTAGCACAGATGAATTACTGTAGATGAAACTTGGATAGGTACACCATTATACGCCCGAACCAAAAATACAGTCAAAACAGTGGAGTTCAAAGTGGAAACCGGCTTCAAATAAAGCAAAAACTGTTTTTTCGGCTGAGAAAGTGTAGGCGGCTGTTTTTTGGGATAGTCATACAGTTATCTTAACCGATTATCTACATAATTTAAAATTAAACATTTTGTACAGCCGACTTCAATATAAGCTACTTCAATATAGGTTATTTAAGAACAACTCAATAACCATTGGTCTGACCTTGATCATTTCATTTCATATGGGACCACACAAGAACTATCAGCTTTCATATAAAAAAAGAATCATCGAAATCGGTTCGCCCAGTACAAAGTTATGAGGTAACACACATAAAAAAAAACATACAGTCGAATTGAGTACCGTCTCCTTTTTGGAAGTCGGCAGAAAAAGAAAAAACCATTACAGGAGCGTACTACGCATCATTACTTGACAAACTGAAGGCAGAAATTGCGGGAAAAACGGCCACATTTGCAAAAGAAGGAAATCCTGTTTCGTCATGACAACGCGCCGTCTTAGGGTACGCGGTATACCTAATCCGTCCACGGCCGAAGTTTGCTCGGGCGATGACGGCCGAACTCGGACGATCGAATCAAACACTTGTAAAAGAAAGAGAGTGCGTACATAAACACGACCGTCATCGTCCGATGACGCACGAAATCGGCCGATCAACCGTTGAGTCCGAACTTGTTGGGATTTCTCGCCAGATTGCCGGCATCTGCAGTGCAAATTGAGTGTATTTATAGTTTAATTTAATCATTTTGTCTTTATTCTGTTGTTTTTGTCAGTGTTGTTATCTACCTAAACGACTATGGATATTGAAAAATTAATTAGTTGTGTTTATAATAGACAATTACAATAACCGAGAGGTTTCGAAACGGCTATGGGCTGAAGTTGGAAATGGATATAGCGGTTCCAGATATTTAAAAAAATGCGTCTTCACTCTGTTAAGCAACACAGTCAACTACAGATCAGAATACCGGCAACGTTCAATGTCGGCACACGTGGTACACTGTTGCAGTGTAAGCAAATACACGTCCGAGTTACTCGTCCGGGTAGTTCTGTCCGCCATCGGCCGAGAAAATCGGTTTAGGTGTACACGTACCGTTACACCTAAACGGTTGCCATGGCGAAAATCCACGAATTACGGTTTGAACTACTTGAACATCCGTTTTACTCACCAAATCTAGCACCAAGCGACTTCTTTTTGTTCCCTCATCTAAAAATTGCACTCGGAGGACAGAAATTTTCGTCAAATGAGGAAGCAATCACCTTCCTTAACAAATATTTTGCACAAAAAAAACGTCGAGTACTATTTGGACCGGTTATAGTGCTGGGAACATCAACATGGAGACTATGTAAAAAAATAAAAAAAATTTAAGAAAAAATTTCGTGTAGGTATGTTTGTTAGGTCGGAAACTTTACAGACCACCCACGTATAATTCACAATAGATATATAATTCACAATAGATATATCCAGAAGTGCATAAATTTCACGTTAATTCTCCCATCTGATTTTTACATATGTAAATGTTAGATAATATCGTTAGAAATCAGTCATCAATACTCCTAGACACTTTCCGTCGGCAGTATCACTTTGCTGACGCTTTAAAACTTTTAAAAAAATGACTCAATTTCACTTATATTCTAAAACAAAGACAACTATTTTAAAATGTTTTTCAAGAAGGCAGAACGATCCAAGGGGTCAATCATCCCTTAGATATTAATACATGTCTCACTCACGCTCATGCGCGCGGATAATGCCCTCACGCTTATACACACAAAGGCATTAAAATTGGATCTAGGGGATGGTTGACACCTAAGGGTCGATCAATCGGCAAAAACGTTGTGAATTGAATCGCAGACAGAGGAGCGTGCGTACGTGTAGTTGTTGCCCATGAGCCACATTCAATTTAGGATAATTTCAAATAAAAGTAGAAGCCTTATTTAGTTGTATTTTCAAAAACTGCAACAACGGTATATCATTATTTATATATTTGAACTTAAGTTTAAAATTTGGCGCAAATTTTTGAAAAATAACCCTGCATAACGTCAGAAGTAACATATGATATCGCACTGCCTAGCGCATAGAACACGGAAAAATGTTTTAAATTATTTATACTAGCCTGGATCAACCTTGGAAAGAACTGTGTCTGACATGACACGAATAATGATGATGGTGAAGATGATTAAGATTTATTTTCAGTCTGAAATTCGTATAAAAGCAAAACTCATACAAAGGGATCATTCTCATATTTTTATAATTATTCCTACGTGATCTCCAAAGACATTTAAGTAGTAGTAATAGACCAGACATCAGCAACAAAATGATCAAATCTTATTTATGTCCTATATGATATATTTCGGATTTATATCACTTATGTCTTAGTGACATCATCAAAAGCTCAAGACGCATTCGTTTCCTAAATTTAAAAAATAGTTTTAAAGAAAATATGCCTGATTGTGCATTAAGGTATTGTTAGTTCCGATATGTAGCAAAAACTGAATGTGATTTCGGTTTATTATCGCAAGTGTAATGTATATTTACCCCATAATTTTAAAATTTTATTATTTATGGTAGATTGTTCTAGAACATTTATCATAATTGTAATAAGCGCCCTCTGTTATCCAATAACGTCACCTAAGGAGTTAGTGATTGACAACGTTTATCGATTGATGCTATCGATAAAAAATATTGTACAGGATGCAGATTTAATTATCTACAATATTTAAGGAGGTGAAACAGTAAACGACACCGTACCCATACCAATAAAGAATTCGGGTGACCTGTTTCGGGGCACACGGCCGTTGGTTTTAACAGAACGATCACTACAAGCAGTCAACAATAAAGCCTTTTTTTTTAATTTTTACTATAATTCTACCACAGAAGGAGAATTGCAGATACGTTGCCGGCCTTTTAAAAAGGAGTAATCCCGTTTCTTGAAGGTCCCTAAGTCGTATCGGTCCGTAAACAATTCCTGAGAAAGCTCCTAATAAAAAAATCGCACAGCAGTGGACCGCCAAGCATCTAAATGATGTGGATAGTTTTGTCACGATGTGTGTTGGTAAAATTTGGTGGCTGGAGTTATACGAACAATTCTTCAGAGCACTCCCCGTGGTAATTGCGATAGAAAATGCAAAGGGATGCAACATCTCTACGCAGCATCAGTGAATCGAGCCAAGCAAACAGAATGTCGTTGACGATTTGAGCCACTCTGCTCTCTATGCGTTCAAGTCGAAGGAGCTCGCACTGGGGAGCCCCGGCCCAGAGATAAGAACAGTATTCCATGTGAGGCCGAACCTGGGCTTGTTAAGTTGCTTTTTAGAAGCCAATTTAGCTTTCTCTTCCAAGTGACCATGCTACTGCAGGTCATTCATTTTGTCGACGCCGAAGATTCTGCTACTAGCTGCGACAACAAGGGGAGTTCTCTGAAAGTGAGGAGATACGACAAAGGTGTTTTTTAACGGTAAACGCGTAAACTTGTGAATTTGTGTAATAATTTATCGTGTAACGACTTTTAAGTTCAGTGCTTTTCTTTTTTTTTATAGGATAGGGTGACAAACGAGCACACAGTCCATCTGATGGTAAGTGGTCGCTGTGGCCCATGGACATCTACATCTATTCTCGTTTGCGAATCAAAATGCAGATGCATTGTCACCCGTGAGGACTAAGATAGAATGCCTCTTTTCCAGTAAAAAGGGTCTCCGATTCTCTACACTAACCATACGAAACATAGCAGTGTTAAGATGCTACTTTACGCTGATATTCTGTGAGAGCGTGGTTCTTCCCCAGTCGAGCCGTTCCTAAAATATGTTAGATTTAAAGTGTACTTTTGCAAACGAAACGAATTTGAAAAACACGGAGGCGCTCTCTTATTGGATTTGACGTTTGGCGATGTGCCTTCGACGCCGTCAGATCAGACATTTGCCATTATTATAGCGTCAAATGGACCTAGTGACGTCATCTAAAATGCCAACAATGTGACTGCTGTTTTGAATTGATTCTTAGTTATTGGAAATTAAATATTTTATTTCATGACATTTCATTTCATTCATTACGTTAATCATGACTTAAAAAGTTTATATGATTTTTTTGGTGAGATGGGAGTCATTATAAATAGATTACAATAAAAAACACAAGTTTTTATCATATTATATCGTAAATATAGTAGTAGT